GTTTCTATAGTCTGAAGGAAAATTATCCTGGAAACCATGAAAGACGGTGAAAAACACCAAAGAGGTAGGGGGATATATAAAAGAATAGTGACTACTTAAAACAACAATAGTAATGATTTGTGGGGTTTTTAACATATATAGAAATAAAATATATAACAATAGTAGCCCAAAGACTGGAAGGAAGTATTAAGTTGCTCTAAGGTTACTATATTGTTCAGATAGTAGCAGACCATAATGTCAAAGATGCATATTGAAGTCTCTAGAGTAACAACTGAAATAAAAGAATATATGATTAAAAATCTAATAGAATAACTAACAAACACAAAAAGACTGAGAACATCACCATCTTGCAACCACAACAGTAACTGATTCAAGAATCAGTTGTTCTAAAGCAAGTGGAGGAAAGTCTGATGAGAGTAGTATATTTACACAGCCTCAAAGAATTTCCCCTCAAATTACTTATTAATTACAAGAGAGAAGATCCTAATTTTGGATAAATTTGGTGGACACAACCTTAATTTGTGGCCAAAATTAACAGGACGAATAATAGGACAAACTAAAACCATGTACCTCCTGATTTGATACACTGAGAGAGCCCAAGATTTCTTAATTGATCTTCCTGCCAAAAACACCTAACCCAATCCCTACTCATAAGAAGGATCCCAAATTGAGGAATATCCTACAACATCACTGGCTGAACTTTTCAAAAATGTTAAGATCATGGGGTGCCTGGGTGGCTCAGTGGGTTAAGCATCTGCAGGTTAAGCATCTGCCTTCAGTTCAGGTCATGATTTCAGGGTCCTGGGATCAGACCCCACAACAGGTTCCCTGCTCAGTGGGAATCCTGTGCTCCCTCTCCTACTCCCCCCTGCTTGTGTTCCCTGTCTTCCTGTGTCTCTCTCTGTCAAAAATAAATAAATAAAATCTTAAAAAAAAGTTAAGATCATGAAAGACAAAAAATATCAGAGGAAATGCTCCAGATTAAAGGAGACAAAGAGACATATCAATGAAATGTAGTGAATGATCCTCATTCAGATCCTGGACTGGGGAAATCTGTTCTAAAGGACATTATAGGGACAACTTTATATATGAATAGGTCTATTAGACAATCTGACTATTAGCTGTAAAATTTCCTAATTTTGATAATTACATTGTGGTTACATAACTGAATGCCCTTCTTCCTTAATACATTACCCACGTATTTTGGAACAGAGGATCCTGATGTCAGAAAAAAAATATAATGATAAATGTGGAAAAATGTTAACAATTAATGGATTTGTGTGAAGGGCAAATAGAGTTATTTGTTCTATTCTTACAACTTTTCTATAAATCTGAAATTATTTCAGAATAGAAGTTTTTTAAGCTAATGAAGGATAAAATATAACAAAAGTACTTGATTCATCCAAAAAAGGCAGGAAAGGAAAAAAGAACAGATGGACAAATAGAAAACAAGTAACAGGATGGTAGGACTTAAACCCAGTTAGTATTTACCCATTAGTAAGTATAAAAAAGTAAGCCAAATTATATTAATAATTACATAATTTACAAGTAAATACTTGTTATAGTAATACATTAAGTTATTATATATAACATGTAAACCCAATTATATTAGTATTTACACATTAGTATTAAAAAGTAAACCAAATTATGTAAATAATTATATAATTAGTAAATACTAATTGTATTAATAATTATATTATTAAATACAGTAAATGTAAAAAGATTAAATATTCCAGTTAAATGACAAAGCTTATCAGACTGGATTAAAAATTAAATCAAACTATATGTTACTTAGAAGAGACACATTTTTTTTTTTTAAGTCCACATCTATGCTGGGTTTGGAGCCCAATGTGGGACTTGAACTCAAGGCCTAGAGATCAAGACCTGAACTGAGATCAAGAGTCAGATGCTTAACCAACTAAGCCATCCAGGCATCCCAAGAGACATTTTAAGCATAAGGGCACAGACAGATTGAAAATGGAAAGATGGGAAAAGATACACTGTACAAACATTAGTCAAAAGGAATAAGGACTAAGGGAGTGGTTAAGTATGTGAAAGTGTGCAAAAAAATCTAATAATTAGATAAACACAATTGACTTTGGCAATAATTTTATCACTTCAACTTTGTTAAAAGTTATTGCAATGAAGTGTTGCGGATAAATAGCCAACTGGGATAGGTTGAGCAGAAAGTTAAAAATGAGGTTTTGGAGTCAGAGAAGGGACACAACTCAGAACATTTTGTTATAAAAGGAAGCAAATTAGGGGCACCTGGGTGGCTCAGTCAGTTAAGAGGCTGCCTTAGGCTCAAGTCATGATCCCAAGGTCTTGGGATTGGACCCCACATCAGTCTGGCGCTCTGCTCAGCGGGGATCCTTCTCTCTCGCCTTCTGCCTGCCGCTCCCCCCTGCTTGTGCTCTCTGTGTCAAATAAATAAATATCAACTTTTAAAATCTTAAAAAAAAATAAGGAAATTAGATGGTTGTTAGAGCAGGAACTGGGGTCAAGGGTTTATCAAATGTATCAGGAAAGAAGGCAAAATATGTGAAAATGAATGAAAATAAGTTAGTATTCAGTGGTAGAAAAAAATAGCTTTCATCTGTGGGTATGGAACATTTGGTGAGGGGGGAAATGAGTAGTAGAGATTTGATAGAGAGGAAATGTAAATTAATGATCTTGGTAAAAGGGAATAGAACTGGGAAATGTAATAGATGTGTGTGTTGAATGCTAATCTGAGATTTGTGGTCAGAAATTAGAATGGAGTCTAGTCAACCAAATTGTATGATTTTAATGGAGTTGGGATTATTGTGAGCAAATATTAAGAGGAAAAAAGGAACAAGGGATTAACGGTGTTTGCAAGGGTGTGATAATAGTGCTGAACCATGAACTCTAAAGTAGACAAAGAAGGAAATAAGGACTCAAGAATGGGATGCTTAGTAGAAAAGTGGTAAGATTAGAAGAACTGATGAGATCAGAGAATAGTGATTATATCAGGGAGTAGCTATTTGAAATCCTATATTTGCATGTAGTGCAGTTATTGGTAATGATAATATCTGGAGTACAACTATATGATTTGATAGTTGAGATAAAATGGAAGAAAAGACAATTGGAGCGAAGGTAGTCCTTTAGAATTAATTTGAATAAATTATCTGTGTGGATGTTAGAGGGGCCAGGAATGATAAGCAGGAGTGATGGTAGATCCAGGTGCTAACCAAGAAGGTGGTAGTAATAAAAAGCACTACTGGTGGAAAAATGTGACAGTCCTTTAGAGGAAGGAAGGAAGCTTGGGTAACCCAAAAGCTAACTATGGGAGTGCTCAACCTCATGCTGGCTTTCGGAGTTATGGTGCCTAAAAGATTTTTCCCAACAGCTTGGTCTGTTTTAAGTTGTGCCTGGTACTGGAATGGTTGAGTGAACGAGGTGTTGAGAGGGAAGAACTGAGGATGACTTGAGATCAAGATTTTGTAACTACAGGGATGGTGACATCTTCAGTAAAGAACACCAGAGAAGCATTAATTTCTAAGGGAACATGAGGAAGTTGGTTGCTTTTTTCTCATTTTTCTTAAATTTGGATTTAATTATTAACATGTTTATTTCATATGTGCATACATATGTTCAGACTTGAGGGTAACTGATGAAAAATTAGACAAAACATTTTGCACTTTTTAAAAAAGATTTTATTTATTTATTTGTCAGAGAGAGAGCACAAAGCAGGGGAAGCAGCAGGCAGACGGAGAAGCAGGCTCCCCACTGAACAAAGAGCCTGATATGGGGCTGGATCCCAGGATCCTGGGATCATGATCTGAGCCGAAGGCAGAAGCTTAACTGACTGAACCACCCAGACATCCCTTTGCACATGTTTCTAAGAAATTTTCTCAACTCTGTCTAGACTCACAAAGATGAACTTTATGTTCTATAAAATAGGTAAGCATTTTCAGGTGAAACTGTTGGGAAGGAAATACTTTCTATTTCCAACCAAGAAAGAAGAGAAATACTTTGTATTTCCAATCAAGAAAGAAGAGAGAAATTGCTACCAGACAACAACAGGTATTTTGTTGAAAAACATACAGAATTAACAGCCTGGCACAATTAAGTTGTGTCCCCTTGCATATGAAAGGATATTGTAATGAGACATACTGAGTATTCCTAGGAAAACTATGGTGATGATAGTCTCATTCTCCTAGAGGACTCCCACACTTTTTATCAAATACAAAATAAGCAGTATTTGGAGTACTGATCTTTATTCCCATTTTACCAGAAAGATAACAAAGAACATGAACAATTTACTAGTCAGAAAAGAAGTGTTTTATAACCTCAAAACAAATGTTTACTCACCAAGAGCTGTAAATTGCTTAAATTGGAGATTTCAGTGGATTTTCAGCAGTAATTCTGAAATTCTTCAGTTACATAATGTTCAAGGCATGTAAGTGTTGCTTTTTCTACACAGCACAACTGAAATGTCATTTAATCAAGGAGACCAATACCTTGTAGACAACCAAGGCAGTCAAATACCAAAGCTTCAAACCATTCAGGGAAGCATAAATTACCTATTTTCTACACTTAAAGGGTATCAGTCTTTTGTTTCCATTTTCAAAGAATGACTGCTGTAAAACGGCCATATTCATTAGCCTGCCATCTAAAAAGCATTAATTTGTAGAACAAATGAGCACGTTTTCTTGTGTTCTTGAAGTATAATAGAGTTCCTTCATTTAAATATATGTTTTAATTTATTCACAGAATATTATTTTACAAGACTGCTTGCACTTACAGGTATCATGGAGTAGGAATTCTCCAACACTGTAATAGATCAAGTGATGCCCACTCACAGACATAAAAATGCAAGTTGGGGGATTTTAGTACTTTGATTTTAAAGTTGCTAGAAGAGGCACAGAAGGTTCGTTTCATGAGTGTTGAGGGGAAAGGAGAAACGACCTCCTTTCACCCTGTTGAAATGTTTTAATCTCTAGTAAATTTATTTCTTTGAACTATGGAGTCTTAGGAAGTCGTCCTAAAGAACAGAATCTTCTAGGTTTTAGCTCTTTTTCCGGATGGCCTGTTCTATTCTCGGAGAGCTTTAATTACTAGAAGAATCTTTTTGCCCTGAGCCAGAATCTGTCTCCCCTAACTTCACAAAGTTGGCCCCACTTTTGAGCTCTGGAGATCTGCACATCTGCCCAGTTCCTTCCAGGCCTTCTTCAGCCAGACAGGCCAGCGCCAGTGCAGGGCCGCAGCACCTTCGCTCGTCCTCCCCGTCTGCCGCGCAGCACGCAGTTCCAAGCTCGCTCTTCCCCGGGCCTCGGAAGCCGCCACTTTCGTCGGGCGCTGATCAACGCGGCTGGCCAGTCCTCAGGTGGTGCGGGTCTCTCCTGACAACCGGGGAGATGCCGGGGTTACTGGTGAGTGCATTTCATCAGGGGGCAAATGTGCTCCAGTCCCAGAAGCACAGGGTGCAGCCCCAGCTCGTTCCTGAGAACCTGGGCGACGACCTCGTGGCCCCGGCTCGTCGGTGCGCGCCCGCGGACGCAGAGGAGGAAACGCCCGAGGAAATTCACTCAAGCCAAGTCCGATGCTAAGACGGCCGGCACCCAGGGCTGTCCGCGCCGAGACCCCGCGCCGGCCCCTCCTCGGCCGCGCAGCCCCCGCGGAAGGGAGGCGGGCGGATGACGAGGGTGTGGGGGCGTGAGTCTGAGGGCGGCGGGCTCCGGCGTCTCAGGCGCGGGCTCCGGCTCGGCAGGCTCCGTCGCTGACCCGCCGGGCGCTGCAAGCGGAGCGTCGAGGTCGCCGCCGCGGGGGCATGGCGCGTGCGGGGGTAAGTGGCGCAGACGGCCGTCATAGGCACTCGCAGCCCAGGGCGCAGCAGCCCGGCAGGCACACGCACACGCGCACCCCGCAGCCGTCTCCCCCGCGGCCCCCGGCTCGGGGCGGCGGCGGCGGCGGCGGCCCGGGGCGGGCGGGCCGGCGCAGGGCAGGGTCCCGGGGCCCCCGAGGGCGGCGGGCGGGCGGGGGCGGCGCTCGGGGGCCCGTTTGGTCAGCACCCATCCTCCGGGCCCGCCTCACGGTCCGCGACGCGACGGGGGGCGCCCACCGGCTCCCAGACCGCGGAGGGCCGGGCGCGGGCGGGCGCGGGCTCCTCCGCCGCGGGCGGACGCTGAGCGCGGCCTGTCTCGCAGGTCTGGATGCTGGTGGTCGGCGTCCTGCTGGCGTTGGGGCCTGGCCGGGCCGCAGGTGCCCTGAGGGCGAACAGACGCCCCGCGCGGCCGCGGGGCTGCGCCGACCGGCCCGAGGAGCTCCTGGAGCAGCTGTACGGGCGGCTGGCGGCGGGCGTGCTCGGCGCCTTCCACCACACGCTGCAGCTGGGGCCGCGCGAGCAAGCGCGTAACGCGAGCTGCCCGGCAGGGGGCAGGCCGGGCGACCGGCGCTTCCGGCCGCCCACCAACCTGCGCAGCGTGTCGCCGTGGGCCTACAGGTGAGCCGCGGGGCCGTGGTGGGGCGGCCAGGGTGGGGCTGGGCGAGGCAGGTGGGATGCAGCGGGTGGGACCTGCGAAAGTGAGGTGGGTGGTGAGGAGGGCGGGGCCGGGCGTGGCAGGCGGGGCGTGAGTGGCGAGGGCAGGTGCGGCGGGGCAGGGCGGGGCGGTCGGGAGTGGCTAGGTGGGTCGCGGAGACCGACGGGGATGGGCAGATGTAGCGAGGCAGGGCAGTTAGGGAGGCGGGCGGACCAAGTGCAGAGACTGGCTGGGAGTAATTAATTCCCGCAAAGGTCTCATCACCTCTCGCTGGAGGGAAACCTGCTTCCCGTTATGTACCCTTTCACTATTTAATACGGAGCAGATGTTTCTTGAGTACCTATTTGCCAGGTATATAGTTCAGTGGATTCCGCAAGGGACCAACCCGAGTGATCCGTCATTAGAATTTTGTACAGGAGACCTGTGAAGTTCTAGTGTGGCAGTCTGCAGACATTTTTTGAGTGCCTGTGGCGGTGGTCCAGACACTGTTGAGCATTAAACCTTAAGAAGCCCTTCATCTGAGCTTATAGTCTAAGAGAGGAGTGGAGATAATTGGGAAAGAAACAAGGCAGAACACTATTTGACAGGAAAGCTTAAGAGTGTGATAGTGTGAAGTGGTGAGGGGGATCAAAATGGCATTTGAAATGTGTTTTGGAAAATGGGCATAACTCTGAGAGTGGCCTGGTAAAGTGGTCATCTCAGAAGAAAGGAATAACATACAAAGTAGTGAGGCTGGGGTGTTCTAGGGCTTGTGTAGGGAATAGTGTGGCGGGAGTGTCCCCTTCCCTGCTGTTAACTGCTGAGTACCACCGTCCTCAAGGGGCTCAAAGTTCTCTGTACAAGGAGGGAGCCCTCACACTACCACAGACCTGGAAAAGCCCTCAGTGAAAAAGCAAGGACAAGTGTGGTTCACAGGGAAAGAGTGCTTATGACAAGAGGGAAGAGATGGAAGAATGGCAAGCACAGGTGTGTTTCTGTGTGGCTGGGAGTGGCAAGAGAGGAGGCTGCAGAGGGGAGCAGAAACTAGATTTGGCCTTAAAAGCAATGCTGGGGGGGGGGATGGGGTGGCTGGGTGATAGACATGGGGGAGGGTACATGCTAGGTGAGTGCTGTGAATTGTGTAAGACTGATGAATCACAGACATGTACACCTGAAACAAATAATACATTATGTGTTAATTTAAAAAAAATTAAAAAGCAATGCTACAAGTTTGGTATGTATCCTGTAGGATGTTTTTTGATGAAGGAAGCCATGTGACCACTTTGTGTTTTGGTAAGGCACCCCTGATGAGGGATGGATCCGAGGGGAGACACCGGACGCAGTGCACTACTTCCGGCAAAAGGTAGTTAGGGTCTGAACTCAGGCAGTGCTGCGGTGGAAAAAGTGAGACTAGGGTCAGCTTGAAAGGTATTACTTAAAGAAGTTAAAGTGACAGGATTTGGTGCATGATGCTCGTATATGGGAGTGAGGGAGAGGAAGAAAGTGTAAAATGTGTAATGGCTTGAGGCTTTAAGTGTCTTTAAGGCTTTAAGTGCATATCTGCTATTAAGATATGCAGAATGGAATGATTTTGTCTGAAACCAATCTAGGCTTCTCCAAGCCTCCACCTGCTAATCAGGGGCCTTCTCTACTCCTGGCTGCTCTGCTGAGGATCAGGTTTACTTGTGGCTGAGCTCCCTCCCACCATGGAAGTCAGGCCCAGAACTTCCTCCTGCCTTAATTGACTCTTCATTCATCTGATGCCCTCAGGACATACATATTGAACCATTCGTTTTGATGGCTTAATTTTCTTGCTTTTCCTCTTTCTTCCCATCATATCCACAGTCCAAAGGATGGGCTTTTATATTATCCTTTTTCCTCCAACCTCATATTACACCCTGGATATGCTAAATAGTATTAAAGAAGCTTGGAAGATCTCCCAAAATAACAGCTTGTCTTCTCCAGGCAGAAGTTGCAAAGTGAGAATTTTTAATGAATTCTAAGCTCTCCAGGCAAATAGATGTCTCCCAGGCTAGGCTGTGGCCTGAAAGGCAGAAGAGTAACACACAGCAGTGATCTTTCAAGACCTCCTGTTGGGCATCTCTTGTGTTTCTGGCTTGCATTGTTGATGGTATTTAAGCAAAATGGAGAAAACGAATGAGGAGAGTTTTTTGGGTGAAAGTAAATTCAGTACTAGACCTGTTGAGTTTTACGTGCCTAAGAGGAACACAGGTATAAATATCCAACTTGACTTGGAAATGTGGTCTCAGAAGAAAGATTGGGACTGAAGTACAGATCAGGAGGTGTCAGCCCTAGAACTAGAATTCTGCATAGTAAGTTAAGTTGAGTTGCCTTTACTACCTTACCTGTGTCTCCTGGGAAAGTTCTAAGAGCAGCAGGGAGGAGGGAGTGGCTAAGGGAGGTCATGGAAAAGAACAACACACAGCATAGAGCAATCTGGATCTAGGCTGCCCAGGTTGTGCTGTATGGGAGCCTGGGAGCAGGAGCTATATCTGTATCAGGTGGCTGATGATGGTATCATCTGCATTAGTGTTCTTATTATTTAGCAATACTGATGACATTACTCCCCTGTGAGCAAATGGAGGCTTATACTCTCTGAACGAAGAACAGTCTTTTAGGGATGGGCACTAGGCCAGGACTCCAGACTGCTGGGTGCTAAAGCGAGCCCTGCCTTCTCCCACCAGGAGATGGCCTCTCTTCTCTTCTGACCTCTGATCACTTCTCAATGCTCCTGAGTCACTGGAAGACTGGAAAAAAGCATTTCTCATAGAAGCTCAAAACCTATTCTAAAGCAGTGTGTAGAAGGACAGGATTGATTTCTTAGTGGTGTCACTGTGGGACCTGTGTAGCCTGGGGGAAACAGTATGCTCGCCTCTGCAACTCTAAGTATGGAATTAGAAGTAGTATGTAAGTCCAAAACGAGCCAGAGAGAACACCAAAGGAAGAAGGATGGGGAAACAGACTGCCAGTAAGAAATACAGGAAGGCACAGAAAGGATGACTTAGGTGGATAAGATAGAATTTAAAATAAAAATTTGGATTATAAGGTGACTCTTCATACTTTTAAGGGGGAGATGGATCATTCAAAATGGTGTTGGGACAACTGAGTAACCAACTGGAAAAGCATGATTGTATCTCACTTCTATATACAAATAAATAACAAATGACTGAAAGATTTAAATGTAAAAATAAAACCACAACCCCATAAAAAACACAATCAATTATATTTACAGTCTTGGAGTGGAGAGGCCGATTTAGTAGCTTACAGACCGCCCCCCCCCAAAGCCATGAAAGACAAGACTGATAAATTCACCTACACAGTTATATGCCAATTCTTCTAGGCAAAATAAACAATAAAATAAAATTAGAGGGGCACCTGGTTGGCTCAGTGGGTTAAAGCCTCTGCCTTCAGCTCAGGTCATAATCCCGGGGTCCTAGCATCGAATCCTGCATTGGGCTCTCTGCTCAGCCAGGAGCCTGCTTCCCCCTCTCTCTCTGCCTGCCTCTCTGCCTACTTGTGATCTCTGTCTGTCAAATAAATAAATCTTAAAAAAAAAAGAAAGAAAGAAAAAGATGTAATAAAGGGTGGAACAAAGATCGTGGGTAGTTCCTGGGAAAGGAGTCAGTTATGTGAAACTCAGGCAACCTAAAGTGAAATGCATATTAAAACAGGGCTGAGAAACCTGGCTCTGTTGGCAAAGGGGTGAGGAAAAAGGCAGTCTCATTACAGCAGGGGGTATGAAACCGCACAACCAGGTATTAGCCATTCACATTTTAAATATACTTCCTCTTTGATCCAGCAGCTCCAGGTACCGGTTTACTCCTCCAGCCACACCTGTCTGTGTAGCAAATGATGTATGTACAAGCGTGTCCATGGTGGTAATAGGGCATTGGAAACCATCCCAACACCCACCAATAGGCAACTAGGTCAATAAAATGTCATAAAACAGTCAGAAAGAGGAATGGGGCAGCTGTAAACCTGCCTAAGGAGACCAGTCCATCACCAACATTAGAGGGCAACAAGGCAAGTTGCAGTACAGTGTCATATGTTAGAGATAAGCTATGTAATAGCTTTATTTGTAAGTTAAAGAGAAGCTATTATATAACACATGTTATTTTTAAATGTACACACGCACACACACACACCACCCCCACACACTTAGGGGCAGCTTTGGAACGTAGTTATCATGGTGCCTGTCAGGAGGGGAACTGGAAGGCTGGGGACGGAGGAGGAAGTAGACTGACTTTTCACTCCTTCATATCTTTTGAATTTTCTACCATGTGCATGTATTATTGATTTCAAAAAATCTTCCTTTTTAAATTGAGAGCAGAAAGGGAAATTCACCAACCATGAGGAAAAAGCAGAGAGTGAAGAAATAAAACTTAGCAGGTAACTACAGCCTTTGATTTTCCCTGAACATTATTCTGAAGAGAATTGTTTGTTCTTACAGCCCATAGGACTGACAGGAGAGACACTGTACTTTTCGGGGCCGCTTGTGCCCCCACAGCTAAGCTGCTACCGGTGGGGAACTTGGCCTGGAGACATGAAAGTTTTGGGCCAAGAGTTAGGCATTAAATGGTAGGGCCAGGACCTCATCCTGGATCTTTAATTCCATCTGGCGCATGCTCCTGACCAATGTGCTAGTAGAAAAGCAGCATTCAACTTCCAGAATATAAAAATATTTTCTCATTTACTTTGTGGCATCATGTTTGTTTCTCTTAAGCTTTAGAAACAAAATGCCAAGAATAAAATCAATGTAATTGCGCATTAACTTTTTTAAGCCAAACTGACATAGTAAGAAATACATTGTAAGAACACTGAGGTTCATTAAGGTTTAAAGGTACACATCACTCATTGATGTTGAAACCCCAAAGATAAACACCTTCCAATACTCCGATTTTTAAATTGTTTATATTTCTCAATTTGGGGTCATGGCCTAAAGATAACTTTTCTCTAGGTTATG